GAACCTGGTGTCACAGACGACAGCTATCTGGTCCCGATGCAGCAGGAGACTGCCTTTGGTGCTGACGGCCCGTGTAGTGACGGAGAAACCAGCGGGAGCCACGCGACCGCTGCCCATGATCCCTTGGATTATGTTAATAAAATTGTCATTAGATAAGTGCCGTGCACATTCCCCGATAAGAAATATCCGAAAAGAAAATAGTTTGAAGAAAAAGTCTGTTTCAAGTGGCCTACATATTAAAATCTTTACTTATCAAGATGGATACAAAGGACACACTCCTTGCTCACTTTCATTTCTAAGAATTTTTTTAAAATCTTTTAAGGTTTTTATTTTCTCCGTGGTTTAGAATGAAATCGTTTACAATATAAAGAAGGAAGCAAGCTAAAAAAAATAGCTAAAACATGTATTTTAAGCGTCTTAAACCAATGCCAAATGCCTTTTTTTCTCCTATTGACATTGTAGTTCATTGACAGTGGTATATTAATCTGAGGTATTATTGTTGTTGTTCACCATCATTGAATGAAACGTTCGCATGCAGTTACGTAATTTGTATTACTTCATAATATGCCGATTTTTGCAAATGCGTCATCGCTTTTCAAGAAGAAAATGCTTACATGTAATAATAATAATATTCTAAAAAATTTTAATCTAAAATACACAGTAAATTTCCAGCATTGTATTATATAACCATTAGCCATGCAAATTGCAAAATTTTAAAATAAGATCCTACGTTATCTGAACTTTGAAAATACATTCCTGTGAAAACTGTAGAATAATAATAAGCCATTCATGTTTGATTGCAAATGATAACTTGCCGATTGGGAAATTTCTTCATAGATTCCTGCAGGCTGCAAAAATCATTTACATAAAAAGGTTGAAGCTTTCAGGAAACCAACAACTTTCGATATCGCAATAAACTAAGAAGGGACAAACAATAGCAATGTTATTTTGTTTAACGTATTGTACACAGGTTTTCCAGCTTTTAATTTTTAAGATAAAAAGTGTATTACGTAATTGACATTTTATATTTGGAATACCTGTATAGGCCTATATTCTTAGTAACCAGATGGCACGTGCATATGCATTCTTCTGCAAAATAAGTATGAAATGTAGCTCATTTTATTAAAATGATGTCTTGTTTACCTTGAACAAAAATTACGTTTTTGTAAAGGAGAGTCTTCCATCAAAGATGTTGCGTGAAATAACAATTGTAAAGATGTACTTTATGCAATGTAACGGAAACTGCTCAATTTTTGCCTAGTAAATATACAAAAATAATTTGACTTAACAGGTAAAAAAAACCACAGAAACAGTTGGTAAATGCCTGCGAAAAAAAAATCTATAATATAACAGTGAAAGATCTATATAACACCAAGTGCTGTGTAAATGCTCATATTTGCTTCAATTGACTTTATATAATCTCGTTTTTTGGATCATTTATTCATTTGATACCCAGACACGTATAATCACTTCTTTAATCAGATTAGCAGAATTGCATAGAAACCGGTATATTGCTAACATAGCCAATGGTGAATTTCTGTTGAAAATATCAAGACAAATTTTAGTTCAGATGTGTTGAATCACATGCTCACATTTCACAGACAGATCGATCTATCCGATGACATTCTTCTTATGCTTGATGCTGAGGGTTTCATTTCGTAGATTTTTGGGGAAAACAGAGTTGATTGATTGTGATTTTTTATAATTATTGATTTAAGTCCTGATTTAAATCAAAGTACAAATCTGATAAAAACCCTTAATCCTTAGCATGATTTACAAGGAACTTATACACATTCTGGCAAATTCCAACACCATATGGAAAACTGCACACACATATTTCTGACTTTGATTCTGGATGTGTGCCAACCCAATGTAAAATACTAAGTTTAGTAAGGGAACTGTAGGCCTACTCATTCGGACAGATTCCAACAAAACATGCCATTTGGGTTTGATGAGTTGAGGTCTGTTAGGGGTCACTTTGGTTTTGTATGCTCCACATGCATTTTCTCAAAACAAATTGCTTCATAAAAACAGCATTTCATAACTAAATAGGTCTGTTTATTGTGCTTTATGCTTAAATACAGCCAGTTTCCGTACGCTATGCAAACCATTCACTGGGGATATCACTTGTAAAAAAAATGATGCTTTCTGATTAGAAGCAACATTCTTGAAGTCAGTCATCATTGTTTAATGTTTATCTTGACGCTCAATAGCAATACATTTGCCATCATTTATACAACATTTTTGGGCTCCAGGCCACTTCACAACAAATTTCCCTCACAAACAAAATTCGGAAATATTTCGCGAGAAAATGTTCTTGGTTATTTTTTATTTCTAGATATGTTAATCTCCCATCTAAGCAAGTCTTTGAGCGCCAACAGAGACCTGACTGACAGGTTGACTCACGGGATTTTTCTCATACAGAAGCCAAAAATCGGTTCTAGTGTATTTTGATCTATTGCATGTTTCTGCATAACCGCGTTTATAATGTCTGTAATTTTCTCAATTCTAGATACAATTAAACTCAGTCTTTTTGCGGAAATTGTCCTGCATGTTTTATTGTTGTTAATTTTTTTTGTAAGTTGGTCGGCAGTTGGTCTCGCCGCTGTATTCAGCGCAGCAAATGCAGAACGAGAAGCTAGTTTGAACGTTCACTGTTTACTAGTAATGCCTGCATGCTAAAAAAAAATATCAGTACAAAAGTAACAAATTCATACCATAATACTTATTTCGGCCATAAACTATCAAGCAAAAAACAATTACCAACACACCATCCCTATTAAATATAATAATAAAATGGGAACGATTTTGTGTGGCCTTAGTCAAACTTTTCTTTTATAATTTGTGGTATTCCATGGCATAACAATAAAGGTAGCAATATTAAAGTGGCATCAGAGTAGTGTATTTTACGTGTTTATTTTCTATTACAATAAGCAACTTTTAAAAATTAATAAAAATCATTGAAAATGATATTCATTGTTATTAAAACTAATTAATGCATCCATGCCAATTGTACCATTATAACAAGTGACTGGGATAAACCCTTACCTACTGCACCAGGAAACGAAAATCCTTTCCCATCACGTCGAAATACCTATGGTTCAGCTATAGTTCAACCATTATGTTCCAACCTTGGACCTTTGTTAAACTTGACACAGCCTTTTTTAGTGCTTCTATACAGTCAGTGTTTGCTTCATTACTTGGCACCCATAGGTTAGTATTTGCCCTGCAGTTAAATACATGTATTGTAAATAGCAGAACTTTGCACCTGGAACTACTCGTGGAAATTCGTAGCGATATTCACTTCCCACATGACGAAATACCTGAACAATTTTATGTGCTTCAAGCTAAACAAGTGTGATCTCGCCTGCATGTAGGACTGTAGGACTGTTTTGTGAAATTGTACATTCCGATCGACTTCTATTTCTATGGCATGTGGAGGTAAAAAAAAATGGAAGTTTTAATGTCGGGAATGTCGCAAATTCTTCAGTTGGTTGTCTCCATACAGGGAATTTATTCACCTTCCTGTCCACCTTTTTCATCCAAGTAGAATACTCTCTCGTATCGTTATTTATCCAGACAAATTGTTTTGCTATCTTGTTTGCTTGCATTATAAAAAAAAAAACCGAACCAAAACATAGAATCAGAGAGGGCATTGCGTGTCATGACGAAGCCTTGAAATACTGAATTCGTATACATGTAGTTCCATAAGTTGTTCAGTTTTTCAGGTTGGATAAAACATCACTGTCGGGTAATGTTATGTACCCAGCATTGGTAGAGGTTACCTCAAATTGGGTTGAATTTGGTAAAAGCTGTCACACAATTGGGAAGAAGTTACCCAAGAGTGTAGGCAGTTGATAAATCAGCCAGCGTTGCCCTTTTTTTTACAGTGGATATATGGAAATTTAACGATGTTAAAGACCAGGAGTACACTCTTTGTTAGGGAAGTGTATTCGGATTTAAATGGAAATCAGTACAAATATAACAGACATTTAAAGTTATCAAGGCAACACTGACATTTCATAGAAAAAAATAATCAGCGCTATAAGGGAACATTCACTGTGAATCGGATTTTCTTTTTCGTAGCAACTACATTTCTTGTCAGTCTCAAAAAAAAGAGATTCCAGTATTTTTATAAATAATGTTCGCCACAGCAACAACTAACACTGAGAGACACCTTTAATTGAGCCCTTCATTACCAACTGTTCAGGGAACTGGTAAACAGACCTTGAGTTTCAACACCCGGAAATGAACCCCCAAAATTTTACCAGGTTTACAAACTCAGCTACGGTAATTAACAAGTGATGTTCGTCGTTCCATGAAGAAACCTTTCTATTCTCCATTTTGTAAAATATGTTCATTGCTGCATTGTGGACACTATCGACATCAGATTGTTGCCGTTCTGCCTGAGTCCATTTGGTTGTGGTTGTTAGATGTGCTGAGTGGTAGGTAGGGTGATTTAGCAAACATAATTATGAAGATCCTTCATTGGAGTACCTACCCCACGATCACGGCCACTCACCCATTGTTCATGTGCTCTTTAGACTAAGCAGAGGGATTGCTTTGTTGAGGAGAATCACTTCGTACACCTGTGACTGCCTGAACGTTCTACAACAAACTCTCTCCATGTAGCCCATGTGGAATGGTTACTTGTGGTAGTTAACGCAGTGGTTATTTCACGCTTTGACTTTAGATGTCACTGCAATCGTCCAATCCAGTAATTCCAAGCGCCACAGACTATTTCCTGAGTGCAAGGGAATAAGCCTTTATTATCAGGTACGATTAATATCTCGTATTATTTTCCCCCGTTTCAAACAGTCGTTAGTCGTTGGTTATTGCGCAATATAGTAGAATACAAGTTATTATTTGAGGAAGAAGGGATGTTTCCAATACGGTATCATAAACTTTGATTATTGGGTTTTGTTTTCTCCGTACAGGCTGTGACTTTGGGCTAATTTGCCTATGATCCAAAACCATCTGAAATTTCTGATGAGAAGATCATGGAGTCTCACAGGAGCCATAATTCCGTCTTGTGGATAGTTGTTCTGACTTCGAGCATCATCTGCGTACATTTGTTAACCACATCTGCTGAGTGGCTCGGAGACCTGTCAGACTATGAGTTGGCCAGCTTGGACAATCCAGATATTTTGGATGAACCCCAAAGACGTGCATCAAAGTTCAATCATTTTACCATGAGTGACCATGGCGATGTGTATGTTGGAGCTGTTAATTGGTTGTACAGGCTGAACAGTAGTTTGAAAATGATACAGAATGTTTCAACCTGTAATGACAGCAGGCCAGATAGTGCGATACCCTGTCACCTAACAAACAACTACAACAAGATACTGGTAGTTGATAGTACCCGGCCAAACAGTTTGATAACCTGTGGTGGTGTGTATGATGGTATTTGTCAGTTGCGACAGTTACAGGATATCAGGAACGTGATGATGGAATCATATCCTTACGTTGGTGGGTTTGAAGATGCATCCACTGTTAGTTTGATTGCTCCAGGAAGAGGTGGAAACCAAATGATGTATGTTGCTGTTACTTATACTGGGAAAAATGTTGAGCCTGGAGGACGCTTTCAAGCAATATCACGAAAATCCATTCAAAATTATCCTTTTTTATCAGCACCAGAGATCGATACCATCCTTTTCCGTGTTGCTACAGAAGTGTTTGTTATTAACTATGTTGCAGCATTTGACTTCAAAGGGTTTACATACTTCGTAGCCTTACAGAAGGAAGATTTGAATTCTGCGCAGTTTGTTTCCAAAATCAACAGAGTCTGCCAGGACGGTCCGAACCTCGACGCTTACACAGAAATTACCCTACAGTGCAGTGGATCGGATGGCAGTGTGTACAGCTTGGTACAAGCAGCTCACTTTGGACCAGCAGGACCTGATCTAGCGGCATCATTGGGTCTCCATGCAGACGAGCAGGTGCTGTATGCTGTGTTTACCAGGAACCAAGGAGCTCCGGGTACCAGCGATGTACCCATCGATCACTCAGCATTGTGTGTGTACAGGATGACGGATATCTTGGCTGCCTTCAGATAAGCAGTGCGGGGATGCATTCAGGATGGGGACAATAATGGGCCAAACAAGATCGACTATTTGGAGGGTTCTTTTTGCAGTAGTTTCGGGGTGAGTACAGAAGGATATTTAGAATGATGTTGGCATTTTAAATATTGGCTGCCAGACAATAATTCAGCTCTGACAGAGCGGGTTATTTGCACACAAAATTAAATTGTTAAACATATGCATATTAAATAAACTCCACCTTTTGAAGAGCATAAGGTATGCATCTATAAAATCGCACGTACCACAAATCAAAAGGCGGATTATCTGTACTTTCCTGGCGTATTCCATTCCCACGGTTTCCAACCCAACTCAACGCAACCATATTACATGCAACAGTTGCCTAACCTACAATAAAACCGTCCAGAGTCATCCTAGTCATTGTAAGCACTACGTGCAAAATATGCTGCTATTTCACAACATAAATATGTGTCTCCCATATAGAACAGCAAAGACGAGAAACTGCAAAATAGTGTAGGCCCTTAAATGTAATATTTAAAACAAATTATCGATTTAGTAAAGGTTGGATATAAATTGGTGAAGCTTTCCTTCTGTTGAATAACAATTAACTTGTAAACGAAGCTTTGCAAACGACGAGGAAATCTGCGCACAACAATGTAACAATTGATTTAACCCCCCCCCCCATAAAAAAAACACTAAAATACCCACTCTCGTTTCATAAACGGCTCTCTTGAACTTCCAGGATTAGTGTTTCGTTGATAATTGCAAATTAGCCCCTTCGAGTAGAGATCTGTTAATTTTTTTTTTCTACTTTCGTTATAGATTCCCATTCTGGATCGCTATTTCTGCATACCCAAGACCGATGATAATGCTCAAACGCCATTATTCAAGTACGCCAAGGGCATAGCCCCCGTTCCATCCACGGCAATTCTAGAGCTGCCTGGTACTCTCATGTCATCAATCATAACCACAATAGAAGTCAACCACACCATCGCTTTAATCGGAACATCGAGTGGAGATCTACTCAAGGTAATTTCTTCCTTATAGATTTAAATGTATGGCTAAAGTTGTCATGGAGCCTAAGCCCGACTTGACCACAGCAATTTTAATTTGAAGCTTTTTACACCACTTAAAAGTGCACCTAGAATTTGGCTGGTGGGGGGCTAAATAAAAATTCAAAAAAAAAAATTGCCCAAACTTTTTGGCCGCAGAAAAAAAATGGATTTTTTTTAATTGGGGGGGGGGACTATTTTGATGTTTGTGGCGCCACTTACTTCCTTATTAATACTACCCGAAAATAGGCCACATTATCACCAAGGTCAAATCGTGGGACTAAAAAAAAATAATTATCAACCCCCCAAAAAATTACAAACTCTTTGGGCGGGCTCAAGCCTCCCAAACCCCCTTTGGGTGCGCCACTGCCACCTAAACTTAAAGATGTGTTTCGTGCCATTTTCGAGTTTCAAAAAAAAAAAAACCAACAACAAAGCGATTAAATACTGTATTTAATGCTTCACAAACTTCGATTATAATTGGCTGCTAGACAAAAGGTCTTTTTTATGCGCAAAATGAAACCCAAAGACACATTATAAATCTTATTGGGGAGAGAAGTAGTGTTTTGTCGTTAAAACAAAACATAAAATTGAAATCACTGAGGAGAAACAAATATTATTTCATGAAAACTGGGTAAGTACTCGATTATAAGGTTAGTACATGTACCATAATTCATACATCGCGAATCTCCAAACGTATTGATTTTGTGGATTTAAGTTTATGTCTTCTTTTGTACCAAAATGGCCTACGGGAACGACGGTTCTTGAAAAAAAGTCAATGTAAGCAGTGCATGGTTGATGGAAAATCGGTTTCTCGTCTTTCTAATGAAAAAAGAGGTTTAATGTGTCATCTGTTCATTAGGTTCACATTGAAAGTAACACTAACGGTCGACTGTATGAACGCATCGGCGTAGATACCAGTCCAGTTCTGCAAGATATCAAGGTGAATGACACGAGTCGCGTGCTATTTCTGTTGACGGAACAAAAGGTAACATTTCTGTTTAGTCGCATTTTCTAACCTGCCACACACAGTTAACTCCTATTATAAGTTGAAACGAATATAATTACTGCAGAAGTACTTTTTATGCGGCTTCTGTGCTCTACCTTTAAAAAAACACACACAAAGAGGTTGGCTTGGAGGCTTTCTCTCAAACGAAAAGAAGTCGGAAGTTGACTGGTTAACACAAGATAATGTATCCTAGCAGTGTATAGATAGAGAGGTCAGCTGTTTGCAACTGAAGATATAAAACAATATTTCTAGACATAATTATGTAATCAGCCAAAAGCTAATTTGACCGGCATGTGTGTTGTTAATTGCAATTAGATATAAAGTTATTCCATTTTCATAAGGTTTGAAGGAAACAGATAGCACCCTTTCTGCTGAAATCAAACACTTTCGGTCAAAATTAAGATTTAGAAGTACAATATGTTTTACTCTATATAGTTGGTGAAGATGCACGTGGAGAATTGTAGCCAATACACTACGTGCGAAACGTGTATTGGGACTGATGCAGGGAATGATGGAGACCCATATTGTGGATGGTGCACTCTGGAACGAAGGTAAGTCCAGTCACACCCAATATCGGACTTCGCTGTATTCATTGTAACGTTACAGAGTACACTATTGGCGTTATATAATCATAATGGATGTTTGGAAACGTATTGTATGAAAATGAGCTTCGCATGTGCTCGATTCATCTCATTCAGAGATGACAGACCGATATGTTTCTCATAAGAAAGTTTCTACTTAGCTATCCTGATTGTAATGTTCATTGTTCACAACCATTCAAGCCCAAGGTCAACTTATAGTCGTCCTACTCAAAAGATCTGGTAAAGTTTCACTCACAGTTTTTATAGTCATTAAACGCGGTTTGGCATATGGTTTGCAATCGGTTCATTCCATTTACGATTCCGTCTCCAACGGAATCACTTTCCACAGTCACAGATTCACATCAAATTTTCACCACCTCTTCAAAAAATGGTAAAATCGTAATCGTTAGGTCGTTTGACCGTTAGGCAAAAGACTGTTTCAAACGGTGTACATGTTTCAATCAATATCGCTAGGGTGTCGATTCCACATCGGGTAAACTTGCCCCATAATCCTTTGCAACAGCACGCTTCATAAGCAAATCACTATTTCTGGTCTTTAAGGTTGCATGCAAATAAGTAGTTAATAATTATACAATGTAACATAAATGTAAACAAATTAAAAGGCAAAGATCAAAATTCACATAAAAGATAATTTTGGAAACTACACTGCTGATGATAATAACAACATTGAATTCTTTCCAGATGTACGACATATTCAGACTGTCCATCAGCTGATGTCTCTACTCGATGGTTGGCCTACAATGCTGCTCAGTGCATTGATATTACTGATGTAGCTCCCTATGATAACCTGCCAATTACAGTCACTGAGCAACAGGTGAGAAACAAATGTATTTAAATTACATCTTATTTGCATCCTTAGAGAAAAATGAAAACTGTTTCAGAAAATACACTTCAACTTTAAAATGCACATTTGTTATTGACTATATATTCATATACCTTTTTCATTATGTTAATATGTTTTGAATTTTATGACTCTCTCAGAAAATATATTGTTAAGCGTCGGAAGGATACAGAAGGTTACTAATACCAGTCGCACATTCTCAGTGTTTCATCACCAAATTTTATTTCAACTCTGTCTATAGTATCCATGACCACTGGATCAATATTCTTGCAGTTCTTTGAATAGGAATGAAATAAAAATTAGTATTTATACTTTCACTTTTAGATCACCCTGACTGTGCAGCAGTTACCTGATCTAGGGACAGGCCAGAGTTATGCATGTCATTTCGGGTCATTCGAATCTCCAGCTACGAAGAATGGTGAAACGCTAGAGTGTACGTCACCTCCTAGTGATGAGGTACCTGTCATTCCGCATGGAGGCAAGTGCAATAAGAGACATCCATGTGACGTCATTTAGGGGACAATATATAAAACAAACATTGAAAAAGAGTTATGGTATATTTCTTGTCCCATTTAGAATGAATGGGGCTTCTTAATCAGCCTGTCTTTTGTTTTAAATTACATGAAAGGGAAGGTCACAAGGATATCGACAGAGAAAATGCGATCATTGGCAAAAACATTTGGTACAGAAAATGGCTTCTATTAGCGTTGTTTAGTTTGGGTCCTACCAATTAGCACCGATTTGAGTTCGTTACTATTGAAAATACACACTCATTTTCAAAGTGCCTTTTTCCATTCCTAAAATAAGTGAATTTTCCCCATACCCATTACACAGATGATGCAGTATACGTAGATTTGGGTGTCGAGTCGACCGAAACTTCAGATCATTTCGTACACACCGACTTCTACTTCTACGAGTGTTCAGCTCACACTTCGTGAGTATTCGGTTTCTTTTGTTTAAATACTCTTAAGTTTTAAGTTGTTCTAACAATGGTTCTGTGTTCAAGCGTACTTCCATAGATGTACGTTTTATACTGGCATTACATTGAGATATAAAACAAAGCAACCCACCGTGTTTAGTTATGGCTGATTACTTAACTTTTTGGGAATTTGTTTGCGGTCCGAGACGCAAAGATAACGTACAATAGCAGTATAGTTTGAAAAACGTGAAAAATAAAAAAGAGTTTTTATTAACCATAAAACATCAATTCGTCAGGACTAAAAAAAAAAGTGGAACTTGCTAAGAGCACGAGTAGAGAAAGCTTAAGTTATTTTTGATTGTCAGTAAAATTTGGTATTTAAATACGTAATATTTAGTATCCAGTCGGTTTTATGTGTTCTTTTTTTAAAATTGATCCTATTTGCATTTGCTTTTGGTGTTTGCATAGATGTGTATCCTGCGTTGGTAGTCACTGGGCATGCGATTGGTGCGTGTTTGAGAACAGATGTACTCATGATAGCTCCACATGCCCACAAGCTGATGAAATCATCGTTCCCGGAGATAACGTAAGATTAATTATACAAGCTATTAGACCAACACAATCGTTAAAATACTTACAATTATTTTAAATCCACAACATTAGCTGGCCTGGTATTTCAGTCTTGACTTAAGTCTTGGCTTCCGGTCAATTCAGTCAGTTTGCAGCATTTGAATCCATTTTTCATACAGTTATTTTAGCTGAATGTCTTGATTGTAAAGATCACGTACTGAATTTTCAATAACTTAGTGTTTTGCGCTTTTATTACTGAAAACCACACAAATTGGGAGGTAGCTCCCCTACCGCTTTGCATGCATCTATCAGCTTTGGGTTGCGGAAGTTGTTTTGGAGTGTGAACAAATCAACTTTAATAGCTTGACCGGAACTTGTGCGGCCTATGTTTCCTGGCAGGATTCTTGTTTTAGGAACAAGCTCGTTTTCCAGATTTCTGTCGAATCAGGCTTAGACCACAAAAAAAAATAAGTCGGTCTCTGGTCAGCGCGCGCGTCGATTTTTCATCATGCGCGTCAATATTTTTTCTCCAAAATGTTCCGCGGTAGCTCTAACAGCGCCCTCTATTGCCGCACCTCCTCCATTTTTTTAACAAAGAGCACCAAGGAATGGGAAATTGCACTACGGCAAATGATCGAGAGCACCAAAGCAAATTATGAAGGACACCAATGCACATGAGGACACCAAAAAAGCAAAATAGTACACAACCTTGTCTGTACAATCCAAGCTTGAAGAAAAAACAAAAGCCGCGTCGCCGCGTCAATTCCGGAACTTTAGTCTGACCAGAGACCGAATATTTTTTTTGTTGGCCTTATATTTGTTGGAGAGTTAATGATAATCATGTACTTTATATTGTTGGTTTTTACCTACAGAATCCAGCCGCTTCTGCAGTCAAAGGACCTGAGTTTTGCCCTCAGCTGCTGAACCAGACTGCTGAAGTTCTGCTTGCTAATAACATTATGAGGAGAATAACTGTCTCGACTAAAAACCTGCCAAACGAAATTGAGGTATGTTTATTCACACAACTAACACAAATAATGTCAATCTGTAAATGATGTGCACGTTAATCCCCGTCTATCATTAAATTGCCTTGTCAATGTCTGATAGTGACATTTGACAAAATTTCTCTGAGTCTAGTTACCACTTTGCTTAATTCTTCCCCTGTTTTCTCCCGTGTAATACTGCGTTATAATATAGTTTGCTAAATTGCTAAATGATCAAGATATCTGACCGTCTTTATGTGACATTGAAATGAATACAAAGTGAATTGCAAAGTTATCATTCATTACAATGCTTTTTGGACGGTATGTAAACTTGAGGTCAGTGATGTCGGAGCAGTTTGCACATGCCTCATGCATACTTCATATATTATTCAATATTATTGTCATCGTTAACATTGCGTGTGCTGAGATAGAAGTTAATGTTTGGATGATAAGCTGCTCTTGAATTGCCCTTTGGTGGCATCTAAATACAAGTCTGCATTGTATTCATTATACACTTTATTAGATTTGCTGAATAACTTCATTAAAACACATTGCGTCGCATTGTCAAGTATCGAAACGTCAAAGGAAGCTGTTCACTTTCAAACACCTTTAACAAGAGTCCATGCAAGGAATTTACTGCCAAGTAAATATTAGTGGTACTCTTTCCTGGCTCACTTAACTCTGCCAAATGTTGGTTCTTATACCCTTTGTTTTCCATGCGCAGATTTCTAGCTATCAGTGCAGCTTAAATGTAGAAGGATCACCTCAGGTTGTTAATGCAGACCGCAATGGAGATTTAATTACTTGCAGAGATAAGGCTGTAAGTTAAAGTTCAACTTATTTTGGGCCTTGGATTGCTTATTTCTTTCATAATAACAATGAAAGTAAATTACGGTTCATGCTTCGAGCTTAAGATACTTAAAGGTGAGGTTGACTGCTTGCCTTCAACAGTATACCTACCTCTCCCATGATGAACCAGAGATGGAAGTGAAACTGACTGTTTCATGGGCTGACACCGTCGGTGTTGTGCACATCCTGGATGACATACATGGATTTATTGGTAAGGAATAAAGACTGCTTAAAGAAATTTACGCTTTCGTCAGTCTAATGGTCATAATTTTCATTGACTGTTATCAACAGTTTTGCAAGGAGGTTGTTCTTTAAAATATCAAATTGTAAGAAATGACATTATTTTAAACTCTGTTCATTATATCAAACAGTAACATTGTACAAGTGTGAAGTCCAGAAGCCAGACTGCAGCCGCTGTGTTACAGCCCGCCCAGCGCTTGACTGTGTTTGGTGTGGTGCCATGCCGAGCGAGTCTGGTGTTTGCCAACCGAGTGAAATTTGCAGCGAAAAGATGGTGACTTTGGATAACGGATTGAATTGCCCTAACCCATCGCTGAGTAAGGTAGGTTATAAAACTTTACAGTTGAATACATGTATTATTCACTTTGAAGTATCTTGAATATTCTTTATTAATGTTCCAGGTGAGGCTACTTTTCAACATGTTTGTATATAATTATCTATAGTTCCCACAAAGTATCAAACAATGTCGCCAGAAAATGAAGCACACCTTGTATCCATTTGACTTGCCTTTGTGACAGAATGGAAAAAGGGAAATTTTGTCATGTGCCAGATGGAAAAAAGCCACATTTTTAAGACTGTGTAGGGCCTTTTATATTAAGTAGGCCAATACGGATGACTGCAAAAACCACCAAGCCGAATGATTTGTCTTTCAAAGCATTTACCAATGCATCTTCAATAAAAAAAAGTGTTGTATTTAAATGTATTGTGTCATGTTACATGTACTTGCGTTTGTATGTAACGTTATTATTGTTTTAAAAATCACGCATTAGGTATTTCCCTTGACTGGGCCCATTGAAGGCAACACAGTCATAGATGTGATGGGAACTGATATCGGTCGGAGATTTGAGGATGTCGTGTCAGTGATGGTTGGCAATCAGCCCTGTGATCTGTCTGGATTAAACTCAGACTACCAAACTGGAGCAAGGTTGGGTCAAATCATACTTCATGCAAAGACATTACCTTGTACTTTTTATTCAAGCTTTGACTAATTAATGTTCAGCTTTTCATTGTTTCCCCAACGCTTTAACCTTCCTAATCGAACAATTGTATCTGTCAGTTACAATAAGTGGTGTTTTTTTCAGTATTTATAGGAAATGTCAGTATGCCTCAGCCTTGCTTAAGTTGATGAACATGTTAGAATCTTAAAAGTATACATTTGTGCTTAACAGTTAAACGGTATTATTTAGTTGGTATAAGCTACAGAGTTGATGAGATTGAGGAGTTTTGCTCAACCTCCATCTATTTTAAATGTCACATATCATTTTATGTTTCAGTGTCAGCTGCATAACAAGGGCAGAAAGTGCAGGAGCCAAGCTGGTTACTTTGACAGTCACGGGTGCAGATGGTACAATGCAACACAGCTCAGGAATGGTCAACTTTAACTTCAGAGTAAGTCACGTCTCGCACGCATTCGTTTTCCTTACATTAACTCAACCACTAGGAACAAGCGTCCAAGAAAAATGTTTTATACACTGTTATGAAAAAAGTAAGCACGCAATGTATGATCACGAATGAGATCAATTCACGGGTGTTCTTTTCTTAGAAGTTCGGCACAGTATTATGTCAGCCAGAGCAATATTTAGATATAACATAGCTGAATGTATAGTTTCGCACCAAAAATGGAGGTTTTCTGTTTTAATTTTTAAGTTAAGAATTTGTATAAAAACCACGGACTTTTGAGTGAATTTCCTGAAAACCTTGGTCAAAGTGTCCAAATTTGTGTAAAGGATAGGGAGAAATATATAAACAATATTACTCCAGGAATCGATGGACGAATAACCATGGCATCAACTTATTCCTACGATAACAATGACTGGGAGTCAGGTTGGCGTAGCTGTACTTTCCTCGCCTTCCACCGCTGGGACCTGGGTTCGAATCCCGCCTGGGCCAATATGTCGATTGGTTTTCAGTCCCTGCCTGATTCCGTGGGTTTTCCCCAGAATATTCTTCTGGGCTTTTCCTCCCACCTCTAAAACTGTAATTTCTTCTCATTGTCTTCTCTCTACAGGTTTCTTCAGGCTTGCGAGCTACAGTGCCTTGGGCGCTTTTGAGGAATCCTTTGTTTCATTACCAGAAATGATTAATGATAATAATAATAATAATATAATTGATGAGGAAAATTTGTTTGATAGACAAACACAGTTAGTTCTTCAATGTTTTCACAAAATAATTCTCGTTAACAGGACCTGACGATTACAGATTTCCAACCCCGCCTCGGCCCAGAAGCCGGTGGGACGACAGTTAGTGTGAATGGTGCGGCCCTCAACACAGGACGCGATATTGAAGCGTTTATCGGCGACAATCCTTGCAACATAACAGGGTATTATGTCGCTTTCGTTGCACATCATTTTTCAAATTGTTGTGTACACGGCACAAATCGGAGCATTGTCTAATTGTTTTCCCCTGGAACTCAAGAATGACATTATTTGAAGCAATCATTGGAAACTGAAAAATAAAAGTGTTTTTGTACGATAATTATCAATTCAACATTGGTACAATCTCGCGTTCCAAACAATGGACTCCTATCAAGCTTCAGTTGCTTAAATGTCCTTTAAAAGGTTTGCTTTTTCCCTCCTTTGTGGACCGGGTTAAAGTGTTTTTTTGGGAGCATATTTTGGTTACTGTATTATAAATATATACTCCATCCTGTTCTGTAGAACTACTCGAAATTATGCCAATATTTACCATGATACATTGCTATACATACATTTAGTATTAAGGGGCATCAAACACGTAACACAGATGAATTTCACTTTTAAAATCTCTGCAAAAATTTAATATTGTAATTATGTGAATTGTTTTTTTCCCAAATTACTCAGCAACTCAGTTGAATCCATGCTAGAATGCACAACCACTGCTGGCCAAGTTGGATATCAAGGTGCTGTGAAAGTCTCCTTTGATGGAGCCATGAGAACCTCATCAGATATGTACACTTACAGTGAGAATCCTATCATTGCTGGTGTGTCTCCTCTGAAAAGCATCGTTTCGTGAGTCTGCATGATTGTTGTCTTCATCTGTATTACCTGGGCTATATATACTTCAATGTGCATCTTCCACATTATTTGTGTCTCTATTACAGCATGTATTGTCCAAAGATAGTTTCGGTGTTTTAAATATTTTTAAACACGAACAACAAATGAGGTTTAAAAAGGGAATTTACATTGTTAACCCTACTATTACTAAGGTGGATCCTCTGACAAGCATCATTTCGTGAGTGTTCATGATTTTTCTGTCTTCCTCTGTTTTACCATGGGCTATAAGTTCAATTTGTATCATCCACATTGAAAGAGGATTTCTGGTGTTTTACATCGTTTTTAATGCAAACATAACAAAATGAAGGTAAAAAGGAATTTTAGTCTAGGTATTTCTGAAATGTTATGTTTCTATTGTAAGACACGCTTTCAAGATAGCAAACTCGTAGACACAGTTATGCTTGGCTGTTTTAGAAGCGTGCTAATACAAATAATCTTATAAGTCAAGACTACTGATAATCTGAGTGAACAGAAAACAAATATAATGTTTGATTCTAAAGTTGTAAGAAAATTATCTGCTCAGAATGTTTTTTGAGTGAATCCTTCGTGCATTTCTTCATTGTTTAAATTCTTCTATACACCAACCAGGATCTTTCAGTGTATAACGCATTTTCATCACTTGTATCGGTGTTTCTAATTGTCAGGGGTGGTCGAATGTTGACGGTTACTGGCACTTTGCTAAACACAAGCAGAAACCGTCAAATCTTTGTCACTTATGGAAATGGTGATCTTAAAGAGGTGAGAAATGTGTTATACCTGTTACTATAAATGATTTTTATCTCTGTCCTACCCTGCTCAGTCTCCCCTTAACATCCGATCCCTATATCCACTTGCTCCACTCTTCCAACATACAATTAAGAACTTTTTACAACTTCTTTTTTCTCAGTTACCCCTGACGACTTCTTCAAATGTGAAAATGGCAAAAAGTGTACGATGTATAAAGTGTGATAGCCATTTACATCATTAAAACATTTTGTTTTTCAGTAGAAGCAAAGAAGGTGCCTTTGTCAACCTGAGCTAATGCTGAACAGAATTGTCAACTGAATAATGTGGGACTTTGTTTTGCAGGAATGTCAAGGTGGATCTGCAACGAGCATGGAGTGCCGGTCTCCTAACATAACAGACCTCAACATGAGGAATAAAAAGTTGACCTTTGGCTTCATCATGGATGGGGTCACTCAACTATTGACATGGTCTCAGGCTAACGATGCCAGCTTGGAGTACTTTGAGGATCCAGTGTATAACAAATTTGAAGGCGGCATGAATGACAAAGAAGGAGAAACCTTGAAATTACGGTTGGTATGCGTGTCTCATTCTATGCGCCTGTCATTTTCAGTGTTGTGTTTTTCTATCTGTAGGTTATGGGGCCTGTCGGTAACATGCACGAAGCACACTTGTTTGGTGCTTTGTTAAGTGATCTCACCTCTGATTATGTGACTAAAGATAAATTCAAGTTGATATCTCTTCCTCCTGAATCACGTGGATCTTCCAAAAATACAGTGGGCTTATTTGAGTAACTCGTGCTGAGTTACAAAACTTCATAATCTCAGATCAGTCATTGCAAAAGCAAATGTAAATGTAATTTGAAATAAAAGTTCAGGTTCTTTTTTTACCTCAGTCCTCATTCGGTGTGTATAGGAGTACATGTGCACGAACAACGACAGAAAGTCTTACGTGGGACATAGGTTATGAACTTTCTATTTAGAAGTAAAACAAGTGTTGCACATTTTGCCACAACCGAAAAGACTAAACTCTTCCGAAATATACCAATCCAGATACTAATTACTTTCCTTTAAAACAATTTAGCTTAAATTACCTGTGGATGCTTTGACAGCGCTATCACAGAGGGAGAAATTATCGTGAGGATCGGCGAAGAGAGCTGTCCCATTATCCTGTTCAGTGCGACAACACTCGTATGTGAATTGCCCGATGAGGCACCAGCAGCCGGTGACTACATGGGAGGAGATACCGGGAAAGGTCTGCCTGTGGTATGGGTAAGTCAGGGGCGGATCTATGTGTGAATCAGCGGGGAGTATACAGCTCAATGCAGCCTGTTAGGCGCAAGGTAATTCAATCACAATAACCATCTCTGCCCTCACAGGTACCCATTTACTCCTGGGTTGAAAGAAGCAATGAGTGGCAAAGTGCCTTGCTCAAGGGCACACGCACCATGACCCCTTCAGGACTCGAACCCACAACATGCAGCTTTACCCACCGACCACGAATCAGTGCCCTTAACCACGAGGCCACAGCGCTCAACAAATTAATTTGCCTGATAGCAAAGCAGAATTTCATAGTATTTGGTCATTGCATTCCTGAAATCTGAAGAGAAAACCGCCCCGGATGTAAAATGACCAAAAAACCGGCTCTTCTAGGATTGAAAATGATTAAGGTTCATGTTCCTCAGATGGTATGAACAACTCTTTACGCTCTCTCTAAAAGGAACACAAACGCCCAACATTCAATCACTTCTCACCAAACACTAATTACACTATACTTTTCACTTGATTCTTTCTTCAAAAGTAATTGTTATAACGTTGACGTGAAAGTAATTGGTTAAGTCTATGTCAGTTGTTGCATCGTTTATCATTTCATTTGTATTATTCCATAGGTTTTCCACAATAACTTAAAATCTCGGTTGGGCTACTTGGTCTATCCCCCGGTGCCACTTGTCGCTATACTTGTACCGAGTTTGATCATCCCACTCTCCATGGCGATTCTGCTCGCTGCTACCTTCGTGTATTGCAGACAATTGCGAAGGAAGCGCACCCACGACCGAAGACTATTGGGGAGGATAGTGGCGATTCATCTCGGTAAGTGCTGGTGGCAGGAGGTGACTTGAGTTAACTCAAATATTATACTCCTGAATGCCAAAAAAGAGGGTTCACCAATCTACGATGAAGAGAGAGTATAAACTCAGTCTACCTATGAATTGAGCTCTTGCACATTAAAATCAAAATGGTAAACAACCGGAAACCCTTTAAAATAGTTTAGAAACAAAATTAAACAGTTCATGCGTAGCTGCACATCTCCGTGTTAAAATTAAATTATGTTCTATTTATAGAAAAATATTCCTTAAGATGGCTGCTAACGGGCAGCCGGTTTTGATGGTAGCATACATGGCAAAAGAATTCAAATGGCAACCTCCTCAGTTGATTGTAAAGTTGCAGACAGGATGAAACAAATTCCTCTTTAACAAAAATAAATAAAGAACTCTTTTGTTAGGATGAAGGTTAGATTCTGATTGTCATTTTAGACAACTTGTGAATCTTGTGTAGCATGCAGAGATTGTTTTGTCTGTTGATTTGTAAGCCTGAACGTGCTCGTAAACTTACCACTATATTACGTTGTTTACTGTTAATGCGACATTGTATCTCTTTTCTTCAGAAATTGACTCCCACGTCAAAAGACGCAGGTGGTATAGATCCCAGAAACAGTCGGAATCTGCTCAGCCAAAACAAAAGCGCATTGTCCTGAACAACAAAGTCAGCTTCGTTCCCGACGAGGTTCATATCGACTTCAGCCAACTGGAATTGGGAGAAACTCTCGGACAAGGTAGTGACTTTGCAAGAAGAAACAATGAACATTTCATGAGTTCAAAGTGTAAGCTGTTGTTTTACACGAGAAGAAGAGGCCTACATAATTAAGTACAGGGTTGTGTGTGCAAAAACCGTTAAATAAAACGCATTTTCACGTTTCGCACTAGTTCTTCAGTACCAGCAACAGATAATCAATATAAACGAATATAGCTGTTCTACACTTGACCACATTTTACAGGTGCATTTGGGCGTGTACTGAAAGCTGTTCTACACGATACGTCCAGGGAAGATCAAATTGTGGCAGTGAAGACCGTGCAAGGTTGGTGACGACAATGTTGGCCATTTGTGAGAGATGTTTGCTATGACAGTGAAGATTCTAAACACAGCAATGAAAAGTGGTCCCTCGATTTAAAAAGGGCCTATTTCGAAGGGGCATGCATTTTGGTCTTGAGTACACATGTTGTTGATTAGATTTACAGAAAAGGTGTTGGATGACCTTACACCGAGAAAAAGAAACTAAAACAGCAAAAATCAGTGTGCGTCTTGAATGAAAGAGGCGAAAGAGTCTTTTCATTCAGAATTGCAAGCTGTGGGTTGTATGTAAAAATTTTAAATGAGACTTAAGACTTAATGTGAATGATCTATCTTTTTGAGTTGTCTGTTTCTGAGAAAAAAAAACAGTTGGTTTAACTCGACGTTTCGAACGGTATGCTCTGTTCGTCATCAGGAGAGACTTGTAAAATGTTCTTGAACTGGAATGAATTCAAATGTTCTCCGGTGTCACTGGGTTATTGTATTTCTGTGATGATGAAATTACTATGACATACATTAAGTTGCTGTTTTTATGTGGTATCGTGGCCAAATGTTAGTTGGGCGTGCCAGTTGTCACATATTAATGCAATATTTTGCTTGTACAGACACCTCGGACCCGAAAAATGTGATGAAGTTCCTGGAGGAAGGCCTGATCATGAAAACCTTCGACCATGTCAACGTACTGGGGCTTCTGGGGTTGACCTTTGACGCGGATAAAAACCCCTTGGTGGTGATACCCTTCATGGCAAACGGTGACCTCAAGACATATCTGGTCAAGAAGAAACAGGTATGTAGTCAAGAGCGATCAATGTCGATAATAAGTGGTGGAAGGTTTGATAAAAGAATTGGTGATGAGTGGCATGAGTTTGGAACTCACTTAATGGTGATTTTGGTAGATGTTGTTACGTTTAATAATTAACAGTTCAGTCACGATATTTATTGAACAAAATACTTTCCCATTTGGTAAACAGTATGTCATGTGTTTGATTGTGAGTGTGGTATTTATTTATTCACTGGATGTTTTTACTTTTATTTTAGACCTTGGCGACTTCTCTTCTGATGAGGTTTGCCTCACATGCCGCACTCGGTATGAGTTACCTGGCTCAGCACAAGTTTGTCCACAGAGATCTCGCTGCCAGAAATTGCATGTAAGTGTATCCTCTCTTATATGTCTTTATAAACGTGTTTGTATGAATGCAAAATTTGACACCAGAGATTTGGTAATCTTACCAAAAACTGGGTTAGATAGTTCATCGAAAAATAATTTTAATGCACCAGATGTACCGGGGGACATGCATTCATTCAATTATCTCAAAACTTTGACTTAATTGTATTGCCATTCTTAAATGAAGAATATAAACCTCTTTAGGGTGGATAGTGATCTTCTGGTGAAGATAGCTGATTTTGGACTGTCCCGTGACATGCACGAATCGGATTACTACACAAGCGGTGATGTCCAGGCTAAGCTGCCTATCAAATGGATGGCTCCCGAGTCCATGGAACGCCGAGTGTACAACGCCAGGACTGACGTGGTATGCAATTAAATCCATCTTTGATTGGAATGTAAGATGATGTTTAGATGAAGATCTGAAAGAAAAGAAACCGAAACACATCTCTTTGCGTTCTGTGGAACTATCCATCAAAGAGAAACTACAAAAACTTCGGTGCCCAGTCATGAAACGTCAATTTATTGATAATTCACATCGTTTTAAGACGCCCACGTCGAACTGATTTCTAAAATAACTTACTTATTAACCTTTTTATTTCCATTTGACACCAAATATCAAACAGTTCAATAAAGGCTCCAATACAATGTATAGCTAGTTCATGTAAACTGATCTGTAGCTCAATTGAACATGCTTCATTAGAATGATCTATTAGATTGAGAAATAATTGTCTACTTTGGTTTTCTACAGTGGTCTTACGGTGTGCTCCTGTGGGAGATTTTCAGTAAGGGTGCAAGACCGTACCAAGCAATACCCAACCAAGATGTGTATGATTTCTTGAAGAGTGGTCAACGCATGGCTGCTCCCAAGAACTGCCCGCCAGAAATGTATGTTCAGACAGCGCTCACCGTTACATTTAATAATACACGTAACAAATTTAATGTCGTTTTAACTGCTGTAAATATGCAAGGTTATTTTATGCTTCACTCAACTTTTTCTGAAGGTAAAGGAATCTTAATGCACCTATATTGCTCTCAGGAGTTTTACTTAATTTTAAGCAGGAATAACACTCTTGGGGTTTCAAATATGAATTTTAAAAAAAGGTAGTGTCGAGTAATCAGTAATAATGAAAAGTTTACTGTCGGGGGTTTCAAGTAAAAATGCAAACAAAATTTGATACTGTCAAGCAAGCATATCTAATAATTCCTGTTACTTTACCTGACTGACACAGCTACGGCATAATGGTACGTTGCTGGCAGGACAACCCAAAGTCACGTTGCACATTCGTGCAAGTCGCCAACGAGCTGGAAGAACTGTTGGAGGGAGACCGCGACTACGTAGCAGCTCCTAGTGCGGGTGCGGTTGGTATGGGACCCATCGAACATCGCGAAGAACCTGGTGTCACAGACGACAGCTATCTGGTCCCGATGCAGCAGGAGACCGCCTTTGGTGCTGACGGCCCGTGTAGTGACGGAGAAACCAGCGGGAGCCACGCGACTGCTGCCCATGATCCCTTGGATTATGTTAATAAAATTGTCATTAGATAAGTGCCGTGCACATTCCCCGATAAGAAATATCCGAAAAGAAAATAGTTTGAAGAAAAAGTCTGTTTCAAGTGGCCAACATATTAAAATCTTTACTTATCAGGATGGATACAAAGGACACACTCCTTGCTCACTTTCATTTCGAAGAATTTTTTTTTAATCTTTTAAGGGTTTTTTTTCCTCCGTGGTTTAGAATGAAATCGTTTACAATATAAAGAAGGAAGCAAGCTAAAATAATAGCTAAAACATGTATTTTAAGCGTCTTAAACCCATGCCAAATGCCATTTTTTTTCTCCGATTGACATTTTAGTTCATGGACAGTGGTAAATTAATCTGAGGTATTATTGTTGTTCACCATCATTGAATGAAACGTTCGCATGCAGTTACGTAATTTGTATTACTTCATAATATTCGGATTTTCCGCAAATTAGTGCATCATTGTTTTTCAAGAAGAAAATGCTTACATGTAATAATAATAATAATCTAAAACCGTTTAATCTAAAATACACGGTGAATTTCCAGCATTGTATTATTTAACCATTAGCCAGGCAAATTGCAACATTTTAAAATAAGATCCTACGTTATCTGAATTGTGTAAAACATATTCCTGTAAAAACTGAAGAATAATAATAAGCCTTTCATGTTTAATTGCAAATGACAACTTGCTGTTTTGGAAATTTCTGCACAGATTCCTGCAGGCTGCAAAAATCATTTACATAAAAAGGTTGAAGCTTTCAGGAAACCAACAACGTTCGATATCGCAATAAGCTAAGAAGGAACAAACAATAGCAATGTTATTTTGTCGTATTGTACACAGGTTTTTCCAGCTTTTAATTATTAAGATAAATAGTGTATTACGTAATTGACATTTTATATTTGGAATACCTGTAAAGGCCTATATTCTTAGTAAACAGATGGCACGTACATATGCATTCTTCTGCAAAATAAATATGAAATGTAGCTCATTTTATTTAAATGATGTCTTGTTTACCTTGAACAAAAATTACGTTTTTTAAGGAGAGTCTTCCATCAAAGATGTTGCGTGAAATAACATTTGTAAAGAAGTACTTTATGCAATGTAACGGAAACTGCTCAACTGTTGCCTAGTAAATATAGAAAAATAATTTTACTTAACAGGTTAAAAAAAAAACAGAAACAGTTGGTAAATGCCTGCGAAAAAAAGTCTCTATATAACAATGAAAGATCTATATAACACCGAGTGCTGTGTAAATGCTCATGTTTGATTCAATTGACTTTATTTAATTTCGTTTTTGGATTATTTATTCATTTGATACCCAGACACGTATAATCATTTTTGTAATCAGATTAGCAGAATTGCATAGAAGCCGGTATATGCTAACATAGCCAATGGTGAATTTCTGTTTAAAATGTCAAGACAAATTTTAGTTCAGATGTGTTGAATCACATGCTTACATTTCACAGACAGATCGATCTATCCGATGACATTATTCTTATACTTGATGCTGAGGGTTCCATTTCGTAGATTACTTTGGGGGGGGTTGATTGATTGTAATAATTTATAATTATTGATTTAAGTCCTGATTTAAATCAGTACAAATATGATAAAAATCCTAAATCCTTAGCATGATTTACAAGGAACGTATACCCATTCTGGCAAATTCTGGAGGTGTGCCAACCCAATGCAAAAGACTATATGTTTAGTAGGGGTACTGTACCCAACCTGACAGATTCCAACAAAACATTCCGTTGGGGTTTGATGGGTTGAATTCTGTTTGGGGTGGTTGGTTTTGTACGCTCACATACATATTCTCAGAACCAATTGTTCAATGAAAACAGCATTTTAAAACTAAATAGGTCTGTTTATTATGCTTTATGTTTAAATACAGCCAGTTTCCGTAATCTTATGCGATCCATTCATTTGGAATATTACTTGTAAAATAAATGATGCTTTCTTTTGATATGCAACAATCTTGAAGTCAGTCATCATGCATTGCTTAATGTTTAACTTGGTGCTCAATAGCAATCAATATGTCATTTACGCAACATTTTTGGGCCCCAGGCCACCTCGCAACAAATTTCCCTCACAAACAAAATTCGGAAATATTTCGCGAGAAAATGTTCTTGGTTATTTTTTATTTCTAGATATGTTAATCTCCCATCTTAGCAAGTCTTTGAGCGCCAACAGAGACCTGACTGACAGGTTGACTCACGGGATTTTTCTCATACAGAAGCCAAAAATCGGTTCTAGTGTATTTTGATCTATTGCATGTTTCTGCATAACCGCGTTTATAATGTCTGTTATTTTATCAATTCTAGATACAATTGAACTCAGTCTTTTTGCGGAAATTGTCCTGCATGTTTTATTGTTGTTCATTTGTTTTTGTAAGTTGGTCGGCAGTTTGTCTCGCCGCAGTATTCAGCGCAGCAAATGCAGAACTAAAAGTTAGTTTGAACGTTCACTGTTTACTAGTAATGCCTGCATGCTAAAAAATATCTGTACAAAAGTAACAAATTCATACCATAATACTTCCGTTGGCCATAAACTATAAACGTTCAAGCAAAAATAATTACCAACAAACCATCCCTATTAAAAATAATAATAACATGGGAACGAATTTGTGTGGCCTTAGTCAAACTTTTCTTTTATAATTTGTGTATTCCATTGCATAACAATAAAGGTAGCAATATTAAAGTGGCATCAGAGTACTGTATTTTACGTGTTTATTTTCTATTAAACGTGAACAAATTACCCGATACCCGGCAACACTCCTCCCTGTATAAGAGCAGTTACGTGTGATAATTACACGAGGTCGCTGTCTTTGCATCTGACTCTAAGGTTGTCCACAATAAATACAATTCTTGATCCACGGGTGTTTGCATTGCGTGTCATGACGGAACCTTGAAATACTGAATTTTAAACGTTTCCCATAATAACGGCATACAATTGGCAACTTTTAAAAATTAATAAAAATCATTGAAAATGATACTCATTGTAATTAAAACTAATTAATGCATCCATGCCTATTGTACTATTATAACAAGTGACAGGGATAAACCCTTACCTACTGCACCAGGAAACAAAAATCCTTTCCTATCATGTCGAAATACCTTTGGTTCAGTTATAGTTCAACCATTATGCTTCAACCTTGGACCTTTGTTAAACTTGACACAGCGTTTTGTAGTGCTTCTATACAGTCAGTGTTTGCTTCATTAATTGGCACCCATAGGTAAGTATTGCCCTGCAGTTGAATGCATGTATAGTAAATAGCGCAACTTTGCACCCGGAAACTACTTTTGGAAATTCGTAGCGATATTCCCTTCCCATATGACGAAATACCTGAACGATTTTATGTGCTTCAAGCTAAACAACTGTGATCTCGCCTGCATGTAGGACTGTAGGACTGCTTTGTGAAATTGTACATTCCGATAGACTTCTATTTCTATGGCATGTGGAGGTGAAACATTGCACGTTTTAGTGTCGGAAATGTTGGAAAATCTTCAGTTGGTTGTCTCCATGCAGTGAATTTATTCCTGTCCACCTGTTTCATCCGAGTAGAGTACTCCTTCGTATTATATCGTGATTTATCCAGACAAACTATTTTGCTGTCTTGTTTACTCGCATTATAAAAAAAAAACCCTGAACCAAAGCATAGAAACAGAGAGGGCATTGCGTGTCATGACGAAGCCTTGAAATACTGAATTCCTATACATGTAGTTCCATAAATTGTTCAGTTTTTAAGGTTGGATAAGACATCACTGTTGGGCAATGTTATGTACCCAGCATTGGTAGAGGTTACCTCAAATTGGGTTGAATTTGTTAAAAACTGTCAAACTATTGGGAAGAAGTTACCCAAGAGTGTAGGCAGTTGATAATTCAACCAGCATTGCCAATTTTTTTTTTACAGTGGATATATTGAAATTTAACGATGTGAAAAACCAGGAGTACACTCTTTGTTACGGAAGTGTATTCGGATTTAAATGGAAATCATTACAAATATAACAGACATCTCAAGTTATCAAGGCAACACTGACATTTCATGGAAATAATAATCAGCACAATAGGGGAACATTCACTGTGAATCGGATTTTTTTTTTCGTAACTACTACATTTCTTGTCAGTCTCAAGAAAAAGAGATTCCAGTATTTTAATATATATTGTTCGCCACAGCAACAACTAACACTGAGAGACACCTTTAATTGAGCCATTCATTACAAACTGTTCAGGGAACTGGTAAACATACCTTGAGTTTCAACACCCGGAAATGAAACTCCCAACATTTTACCAGGTTTATAAACTCAGCTACGGTAACTTAACAAGTGATGTTCGTTGTTCCATGAAGAAATCTTTCTATTCTCCATTTTGTAAAATATGTAAATCGCTGCATTGTGGACACTATCGACATCAGATTGTTGCCGTTCTACCTGAGTCCATTTGGTTGTGGTTGTTAGATGTGCTGAGTGGTAGGTAGGGTGATTTAGCAAACATAATTATGAAGATCCTGCATTGGAGTACCTACCCCACGATCTTGGTCACTCACCTATTGATCAGGTGCTCCTCAGACTAAGCAGAGGGATTGTGTTGTTGCGGAGAATCACTTTGTACACGTGTGACCGCCTGAACGTTCTACAACAAACTCTCTCAATGTAACCCATTTGGAATGGTTACTTGTGGTGGTTAACGCAGTGGTTATTTCACGCTTTGACTTTAGATGTAACTGCTGTCTTACAATCCAATAATTCCAAGCGCCACAGACTATTTCCTGAGTGCGAGGGATAAGCCTACATTTTCAGGTACGATTAATATCTCGTATTATTTTCCCCAGTTTCAAACAGTCGTTAGTCGTTGGTTATTGCACAGCAGTAGAGGAAGAAGGGACGTTTCCAATACGGTATTATAAACTTTGATTATTGGTTTTTGTTTTCTCCGTACAGACTGTGACTTTAGGCTTTTGCCTATGATCCACAACCATCTGAAAATTCTGAAGATCATGGAGTCTCACAGGAGCCGCAACTCCTTCTTGTGGACAGTTATTCTGACTTGGATTATCATATGCGTAAATGTGTGTACCACGACTGCTGAGTGGCACGGAGACCTGTCAGACTATGAATTGGCCAGCTTTGACAATCCAGATATTTTGGACGAACCTAAAAGACGTGCATCAAAGTTCAATCATTTTACCTTGAGTGATCATGGCGATGTGTATGTTGGAGCTGTCAATTGGTTGTATAGGTTGGACGGTAGTTTGGAAGAGAAACAGAATGTTTCAACCTGTGATGACAGCAGGCCATATGTGATGCCCTGTCACCTTACAAATAACTACAACAAGATACTGGTAGTTGACAGTACTCGGCCAAACAGTTTGATAACCTGTGGTGGTGTGTATGATGGTATTTGTCAGTCACGACAGTTACAGGATATCAGGAACGTGATGATGGAGTCGGTTCGTTACGTTGCAGGGTTTGAGGATGCATCTACTGTTAGTCTAATTGATCCGGGGCAAAACAGAGGATCGGCACTTTTTGTTGCCGTTACTTATACTGGTAAAAATATTGGCCATCGAGGAAGCTTTCCAGTAATTGCAAGAAGAACCCTGGAACAAAATGGATTTTTATCGATGGTGGAATATAGGGATGCCATATTGTTCAGTATATATGCAAATGTGGTACAGTTTTGCGTGAAGTATGTTGCGGCATTCGACCATAGTGGATTCACATACTTTGTTACATCTCAGAAGGAGGATTTGAATTCTGCGCAGTTTGTTTCTAAGATAAGCAGAGTCTGTCAAGGCCATGTAAACATGGACGCTTACACAGAAATTACCCTACAATGCAGTGGATCAGATGGCAGTGTGTACAGCTTGGTGCAAGCAGCTCACTTTGGACCAGCAGGACCTGATCTAGCGGCATCATTGGGTCTCCATGCAGACGACCAGGTGCTGTATGCTATGTTTGCCAAGAACCAAGGAGATGCGGGTGCCAGTGATGTACCCATCGATCACTCAGCATTGTGTGTGTACAAGATGACGGATATCTTGGATGCCTTCAGAGAAGCAGTGCGGGGATGCATTCAGGTTGGGGACTTTTATAATGGTAATGGGCCAAACAAGATTGACTATTTGGAGGGTTCTTTTTGCAATGGGTTCAGGGTGAGTACAGAAACATATTTCAAATGATGTTGGCATTTTCCAATGAGATTCATTTCCCGTGCTATTTTCGTGTTTCATCTCGAAAAGTAGATTTGTTTGTTGCTCAACTGCTAGTTTATTAGCAATATGAAAATTAGTCACTTTTAAATGAGACGTTTAACACGTCTCACCTACGTTTATTTATTGAATTATATCTTCATTCAAATTATCGGCTACTAGACAATAAATCTGCTCTGCAGTATTATTTGTGCACAAAATGAAATCCTTAAAAAAATAACAATTAAACAAAATCCATTTTTAAGAGCACAAGGTGTGCGTCTTTAAATTGCTCTTACTACGAATCAAAGGGTAGATAACCTGTATTTTAGGGGCGTAAATCCAATCCAACCCGACTTAACGCAACATTTATTTTGTAACGATTCCCTGAAGCAATTCGTCCAGAGGTCTTAGTCTCTGTAAAACAAGCACTACGTGCCAAATATGCTGATATTTCACAACATAAATATTTGTGTTCCATAAAGAACAACGAAAAGGAGAAACTGCAAAATAGTATAAGCCCTAAAATGCGATAATAAAAAAATGATCGATTTGGTTGCCTTGGTCTGCGCTTAACAATGTATCAATTGATTGAACTCCCCCTCCCCCCCCCAAAAAAAAAATACACTAAAATACCCATTTTCGTTTCATCAACGGCTGTCTTGAACTTCCCGGATTCGTACTTCGTTGATAATTGCAAAGTGCCCACGTTGACTCGATCTATATTGCTTGAACTGAAACATTGAGTAGGGATCTGTTTAATTATTATTTTTTTGCTTATTTTTGCTAATTTTTGCTAATTTTTGCTTCGTCATAGATTCCCATTTTAGATCGCTATTACTGCACAGCTGCCGGTGATGATGGTGCTCAAACGCCATTATTCAGGTACGCCAAGGGCATAGACCCCGTTCCATCCACGGCAATTCTAGAGCTGCCTGGTACTCTCATGTCATCAATCATAACCACTATAGAAGTCAACCACACCATCGCTTTAATCGGGACATCGAATGGAGATCTACTCAAGGTAAATTATTTCTAATCGATATCAACGTGTGACTGAAGTCGTCATGGACTTGAAATCAGCAATTTTATTTCGAAACATTTTACAATACATGAACTTAAAGATGCATATAAAAAAACTTAAGTGTTAAATCCAACACATACATGAGTCCGGTCAGTGACCACACTTTCAAATTGTTATATCCAGCATTTAAATGTAAGTCCAACACTTAAACTGTTAATTCAACATTTAAAATGTTGATCAAGTTGATTCCACACTTTCAAAGTGTTACATTTGAAAAATGTTGAATTAACACTTAAATTGTTGAATTAACTGTATTAGTGTTGGATTTTACATTTAAAATGCTGGGTGTAATTGAAAAGAAGGAGGCGGTCACACCGGTGATGGGCTGAGATTGGTTTTATTTAAATGGGTACTTGGCCTGGTCTGGTCCTAGTGTAAGCCTGTGTGGTCTGTGTAGTATGTGAGGTCTGTGTAGTCTGTGAGGTCTGTGTAGTCTGTGGTCCTACAAGAGGAATAAACACAAGGGGAACTAATAAATACGTGCACATGCCTAGGAAATCCTAATCATATCATTAACAACATAAACGTATGTCACTATAATCAGCCCAGCAATATACACAACATGTTTACATAAACCCAAATATATGAAGGTAAGGGCCAAAACACTTATAAATTAACACTGGATTTACAAAAGGGTCCCTAAATATCCCCAGCGAAGAATTAACCCCATGCAAATGTGTGTAGGTATGACATGGCATGTGATTCCAATATAAATCAGTACAATAAACATTACAACCCAAATCTAACAATAAACATGATAAACGTGAAGTGAAATCCCTCCAAATATCGTATCAAGATTAACCAAAATTATACTCACTTTCAGTAATTCACGCACAGGGGGTATTTATAATTAACCTGGTGATTGGATTATAAAGTCAAATGATGATTTGGAGTCATTAACAAGGATTTTACGGACTAAGAATTATCTGGAAACAACGTGATTCGACAAGGATTTGGCAATTATAACAGTCAGTCACAAGAGGGCGCTGTTGTGCACTCCAGTGGCAAAGACGCTTTCGCACAGCCGCCCCTAAATTTGGGCACTAAATTTATGGAATAGAAAGCATCGGAGCCACTACAGTTCTCACTCAGAGTCCATTAGGGCTGGATCTTTGTCGTTTCCCTGGTCATCCTTGACACCTTCATCGGTGACTTCTGGGAGTCGTATCAGGCGGGCGACAGGGCGAGTGTAGTTCTTCTTCCTCACTCTCACGCTGGCAGTGCGCACACGACCATCTGGTCCAGGAAAGGTGTTGACGACTCGTCCGATGGGCCACTGAGCCCGGCTAAGTGCAGGATCAACGATCATGACAACATCATCAGGCTTCATCTCTGCACCGTCTCGTTGCCACTTCTGTCGTATCTGCAGAGAGGGTAGGTACAGCCCGATGAAGCGCGACCAAAAGTGATCTGCTAACACCTGGCTGTGTTTCCAGTGTCGTCGGCTGAGTAGGTCCCTTGCTGGGTAGACAACTTGTGGCAGCGCTGCATCATGTCGTCCCATCAAGAGGAGGTTCGGGGTAACTGGATCTAGGTCGGCAATGTCTGAAGAAACATAACCCAGCGGTTTGGAATTAAGAATACCCTCAATTTCTATCAGAACGGTGCGCAGGACTGGTTCGGGTACAGCCTGACTGAGGACGACTCTCAGGCCAGATTTGACAGACTTTATCTCCCTCTCCCACACGCCACCAAAGTGTGGGGCCTTCGGTGGGTTGAAGACAAACTTGACTTGTTGTTTAGAGAGCTCTTCTTTCAGTCTGGGTTCCATGGCAGAGAATGCCTCATGTAACTCTGAAGCTCCGCCCTTAAAGTTGGTACCACAGTCGGACAGTATCTCGAAGGGCTTCCCTCTTCTGGACACAAACCGTCTAACGGCCATCAGGTAGGCGTCAGCACTGAGACTTTCTAGCAGGTCAAGGTGCACCGCTCTGGTAGTCATACATTTAAAGATAATGCCCCAGCGCTTCTCGGTGCGTCTCCCTGTCTTGATTGTCATTGGCCCAAAACAGTCAACGCCAGTGGAAAAGAATGGCGGCTTGTACAGTCGCAGGCGTGCTGGTGGCAAATCTCCCATCTTTGGTACGTCAGGATTGGCTCGCCATCGTTGACATCCAAAGCATTTGCGCTGATGCTTGCGAATGGCCTCTCGTCCTCGCAGAACCCAAAACTTACGTCTCATCTCTGCAAGCACACGCTCAGGCCCGTAGTGAAGTAGTTTCTCATCATATTCTCGGATCAGAAGTTTGGTAATAGGATGTGCTGGATCCATTACGATGGGATGACGGGAATCTTTGGGGATGTCTTCCGCTTGCCGTAGACGCCCACCAACATGGATGAGACCAGTGAAATCATCATACTCTGGAGCTAACTGGAGGAGCTTGCTGGAAGATCCCTTCCAGCCTTAAGGGCAGCTAAGTCATCAGGAAAACGTCCTTGCTGAGCACGGCGGTACAGTAGCAGCTCGATGTTGGCTCGATCTTCAGCACCCAACTCAGGTGGGTCACCAGTGTCGGCCGCCCAATCACGATGCTCCTTGGTAGCCATGATGAGGTCTTCCCACGTGTCACATTTGGAAAGGTCGGGAGGATCTACAGGATCCACAGCCACGGCACCACAGAAGGTTGACTTCTTGTACTCAGAAACATCTTCTGGTGGTGTGGCCGGGTGGACAGGCCACTGGTCAGGAGGTGACAAGAGGAATGGGGGTCCGTCTCGCCATCTGGACTCTTGGGCAAGCTCCGTCAGGGTCTTGCCTCTGGTGAGGTCATCAGCCGGATTGTTCTTGGTATTGACGTAGCGCCACTGTTTGACATCAGTGAGGGTCTGGATCTCCGCGACTCGAGTGCCGACGAAGACCTTATAGCGACAGGATTCAGACTTCAGCCAGGTGAGGACAGTTGTCGAGTCGCTCCAAAGGACAACATACTTTACAGGTAAACTCAACTCTCTCTTGAGTAGCTGGCACAGCTGAGCACCAGCCAAGGCAGCCGATAGCTCCAAGCGTGGCATGGATAGCTGTCGTTTGGGGGCAACCCGGGACCTGGCCATGACGAAGCTGACATGGATATGATGGTGTTTATCTTCTGCTCGAAGGTAGGCTACAGCACCATAAGCTCTCTCTGATGCATCGCAGAAGATGTGGAGTTGGTAGCTTGATGGCTTAACATCTACCGCTAGGGGTGTGTAGCATCTATCCAACTGGATGTCGGTCAGTGCTGGTAGCTCCATTTCCCAGGCCTGCCATTGGTCTCTGATGGCACCAGGCTCTAGAACGTCGTCCCAGTTGCACTTGGTTTTCCACAAGTCTTGGACGATCACTCTGGCTCGGGTAGTGAACGGAGTGAGATAGCCGATGGGATCATACTGGCTTGCTAATATTTTGTACATGTTCCTCATGTTAAGGGACTCGTAGTGGACTGTTCGGTGGCGGTACTGCAGGTTGTCTGTGCTGCAATCCCACTGCAGTCCAAGGGTGGCCTCAAGGGAGTCAGTGTCACCGTAGGTCAACCAAAGTTCACAGCCATTGGACCGAGCATCTGGTGGGAGATCCTCAACTACCGTAGGGTCGTTACTGGCCCACTGACGTATCTCGAACCCGGCATCGGCCAGTAGGTTTCGCATCTGATGGACCAGGTGCTTGGCTTCTCTGGATGAGGGTAAGCTGTCCAAGCAGTTGTCGACGTAGAAGGACTTGTCGACCGATTCTGCTACTTCAGGATACTGCTCCTTGTGGTCGCTGGCATGTTTCCTGAATGCGAAGGTCGCACAGCACGGACTACATGTGGAGCCGAAAGGGAGGACCTGCCATTCGTGTATCTGTGGTTCTGCTTCCACCTTCAGGTTTCGCCACAGAAAGCGAAAGAGGGGCCTATCTTCTGGTAGAAGTCGCACCTGGTGGAACATCGCTTTGATGTCTCCGGAGATGGCTACGGCGTGTTGCCGGAAACGTAGAAGCACGCCGATGAGGGAAGCACCCAGTTGTGGTCCGGGAAGGAGATGCTCGTTGAGCACTTGGTTATTGTACTGAAAAGAACAATTGAAGACCAGTCGGTACTTCCCATTGTGATGGACAGTGTGGTGAGGAATGAACCAAGATTCATCAGACATTGCGGCTTCATCATCAGGTAGAACTCGCACATGACCTGAGTCGACCAGCTTTGTGATAAGCTCGTTGTGCTTTTTCGCCAGTTGTGGGTGCTTCTGTAGCCGCTTCTCTGCTCTCCTTAGTGTAGGAAGAACGGCATCTTTCGTTACCTGGAATCTGTCTCCATCCTTGGTTCTCAGGAGGGGCGTGGCATAACGTTGCACACCATCAAGGCTGACACGGGTGGTTTTAGACTCCAGCATCTTAAGAGCATACTGGTCTTGTTTGGATCGGGTGACTTCCTTATCATTGGCGTAAGGGAGCACATCTGCCTGCCATAACATCTGCACATGCTGCAGGAGGTCATTTGTAACCGGGAATGTGGATGTCTTGAAGACTCGTTGCTCCAGCTGTAGATCATGATTCCCAGTGGGTCCTTGGAGGGTCCAGCCAAGCCTTGTGTAGATAGCAACTGCTGCACCACGGGGTCCAGATCTTATTGGGCATTGGGGGATGATAAGATCTGTTTGGTCAGCTCCAAGGAGTAACATCGGCGATGCCTGGTTAATCACTGGTAGCGGCAGGTGGCGGAGATGGTTATACCGCTGCTGGAGAGCCTTTACTGGATATGTGTACACCGAGAGACACAGATTGCTGGCAGAGAAGGCTCCATTGATGGTGTACTTGATGTGGGGCTTTCCCTTGGGTGACACCTGCAGAGACATAGCCGAACCTTGGCATTCGACTATGTCATCACGGACAGTTCTAAGGAGGACCGTCTCTGGCTGGCCTTTAAGCTGTAACTTCTCGGCTGCTGTCTGAATTAGCATACTTCTCTCAGAACCGTCGTCCAGGATAGCATATGTCTCAATGGTGCCAGCGGGCCATGAAGGAGAACTGGCACAACCTTTAACATCACACCATGCGGACGGATTGGCCTGTCAACATAGACATTCAGACTTGATGTCTGCACTCTGAAGACATGACTGGTAGTCTTGTGAGCGGCATCATGAAGTACAGTTAAGTGTACTTGTTTGCAGGTGTGACATGGCTTCTTGAGGGTACACTCATCGGGCTTATGGGCACGACCGCACTTCCAACATCGTCCCTTGTCCTGGATCCAACTGACGATCTGATCAGTGTTCAGCTTCTTGAGTTGTGGACATCCACCCAGGTAGTGTTCCTTATTATCACAAAAGGGACAATAAGGCTGGGGTTTGTACTTCGGCTTTGGTACTGTCATGAGTACTGCTGTTGGGGTATCCTTCCTGGATATTCGCTGCTCCTGGTATCGCTGCGGTCTTGGGTTACTCAAAGTATGCCCGGACACTGCTCTACTGGCAAAGCTGTGTGACTGAGATTTCCTACGGAGCCAACTTGCAAACTGGGGTAGGGTGTAGGTTTGACTACAGTTTGACTTCAAGATGCCCTCCTTCAGGCAGTGCTCCATGAAACTCGTCCTGTGGCTGGGGGCAACCTTGCTGAGAAGACGGTCGACGTGCGAGCCACAACGGAGTTCAATGCCGTCAGGACCTTCCAGGGATTGTAGCATCCCCACAAGGGAGAGGACATCCAGGGAGAACTCCTCAAATGCTTCAGTATCACCATACTTGATGGCAGGGGTGGCCATTATGGCTGCGATCTCGCACTGGACGAGCTGTCGGGGTTGGCCGTACTTGTCGGTAAGAGCAGCTAGGGCCTCAGTGTAGGGCTGACGAGTGTACATGAAGGACTTGGCAAGTTTCAATGCTCTACCACCAAGTCGGTCGAGCATCACCTGGAACTTGTATTATTCTGTGAGGTGTGGATGGACGTTGATAAGGTTGTCCAAGGCCATGCGGAGTAAGGCAAATTCCTTCTCTCTTCCATCGGAGAATCTTGGCAGAGCCGGCTTGGGAATTCCATTGGACGAAGCTACAAGGAGGTCAATGGCTGTTACACCGGGTACCATCGGAGGGGAACCGGTGGGAACAGGTTGAGCTTGATGTGCTGAGTGTGGTGACATGTGACTGGTTGTCATGGGTGCATGTCCATCAGCACACAATGGTGTGGGGTGGCCACTGACTAGTGTTGTCATCGAAGGAAACTGTGACACTGCAAAGGTTGTAAGACTTGGGATGGCTCGAAGAGATGTATCTGGTACGGTACGGTTCTCTACGGGAGATGTAGAGGGCACAGGTTGTGCAGAAGTACACACGGGGATTGTACCCTGGCTTGTCGTAGTAATGGTGACATCTGTCAGCGTTGTATCATCACTGATCATGGCGCTGATGGCTTCAGCTTCGACTAGCTCCTGTTGAGCCTGACGCAATCTGCGTTGACGTGACAAATTTGTAGATATGGCTTCACGCTCTCTCAAAGCCTGACGCTCTATTTCTTCAGCCTTGAGTCGAGCTTGTCGAGCTTGGTCATCAATACGATGGAGTGCTTGGTCTGCAGCCTCTTCTTCCTCTAACTGGTGCTGCAACTCCTCAACTCAAATCTTCTTTCGAAAGGTTCGGATCTTTGCTGCGTATTTGTCACTCAGACCAGATAGGTGGGAAGCGACGGAACTATTAGACCGGTTGCTGCGATGGGAGGAGTGTTCGCTGTTGGCCATAGCCACATCACCTGTATGGCCATTGGTCGGTTGACCGAGAACGTCATCTTGTGGTTGAGACATTCTGGAGGTTGAAATGGTGATCCAAGGGTCGCTGGTTGTAGGATCCCGGGTTTCGGCACCATGAAAAGAAGGAGGCGGTCACACCGGTGATGGGCTGAGATTGGTTTTATTTAAATGGGTACTTGGCCTGGTCTGGTCCTAGTATAAGCCTGTGTGGTCTGTATAGTATGTGAGGTCTGTGTAGTCTGTGAGGTCTGTGTAGTCTGTGGTCCTACAAGAGGAATAAACACAAGGGGAACTAATAAATACGTGCACATGCCTAGGAAATCCTAATCATATCATTAACAACATAAACGTATGTCACTATAATCAGCCCAGCAATATACACAACATGTTTACATAAACCCAAATATATGAAGGTAAGGGCCAAAACACTTATAAATTAACACTGGATTTACAAAAGGGTCCCTAAATATCCCCAGCGAAGAATTAACCCCATGCAAATGTGTGTAGGTATGACATGGCATGTGATTCCAATATAAATCAGTACAATAAACATTACAACCCAAATCTAACAATAAACATGATAAACGTGAAGTGAAATCCCTCCAAATATCGTATCAAGATTAACCAAAATTATACTCACTTTCAGTAATTCACGCACAGGGGGTATTTATAATTAACCTGGTGATTGGATTATAAAGGCAAATGATGATTTGGAGTCATTAACAAGGATTTTACGGACTAAGAATTATCTGGAAACAACGTGATTCGACAAGGATTTGGCAATTATAACAGTCAGTCACAAGAGGGCGCTGTTGTGCACTCCAGTGGCAAAGACGCTTTCGCACAGTAATATTCAAAATGCTGGATTCAACACTTTGAAAGTGTGATCACTGACCGAACTTATGTAAGTGTTGAATTCAACACTTCAGTAAATAAGAGTATGTGTTGGCCGTGCCATTTTCTAGTTTCACCTCTAAAGAGATTAGATATTGTATATTGCTACACAAAATTCATTTAATTGGCTGCCAGACAAAAGCTCTTTCTTATGCACAAAATGAAACCCCAAGACAACTATCCTATTACTGTGGCGAAAGTGTTCTAAAACATGTAGGCTGGTTAGGAGACTAGCACAATTTAGGGATATTCCCCCAGTGAGCAATGTCACGGGGTGGAGCATTAGTGTACGTGACTGCGCGCAGAGATGTGATTGGCTGCGCGTCGCCCAGCATTGTTTTGTGTGCTGTGGAGACGTACACACACGTGGTTGGACGGTCAGTGTGTTGATGGCAGTTGGGAAGTCAACAGTCAGCGTCAAAAGGTAAGCACGAACTTTGTAGAGTATGTGGTTTGTGTGTGGTTTACTAGGATCGGCCTTGTGCCGTGGGTAGCGCTTACTAGGGAGCCGAGATCGCTAGGTTGTTGCTGGCGAGCTGTGTGCACTTAGCCCGGTAGCGTTTAGTTCCCCGTTGTAGCGGAGAACATAAGTAAGCCCTGCGTTGGGAGTAGCATCAGCCAAAGGTGGTTGAGCGTGCCAAGTACCGGAAGAGGTGTCGGTGTTCCTGCTGTGGTGTACACCTTTACGGTGAAAAGCGGTGAACGTGTACTGACCTTGCTTTCATACGGCTGCGTTCCCTGTGTGGCTGACTAGCGACCCCAGCAGCTGTGTAAGCCACGTTGAGCGTTTGCAGCTTAAGTTGTTACCTCAGAACCTCTATAATACACATAACGACTGTCGTAGTTTGTAAGCCTTGTAGTAAGCCAAACAGCGAGGTAGGCAGCCTTGCACATCGGGTAGTAAGCCATACAGCAAGTTTAATTAATAATAAAAGGTTTCCCCAAGTCCAAGAAGTTTAATCAGGTCATTTAATTATCAATCATTCATAAGACAATTGTTGATTCAATAAACCATATTTAAATCATTGTGGTCCGAAATCAAGTGTATTTCCACCAAAACGAACTTGCATCCATTAGCCTTGAGGCTGCTCGTTAGTCTCCGGTCCGAGGAAGTAACTGGGTTCGGGAGCAATCCGCCACATTACAATGGGGCAAAAGTAGTGTTTTCTCTTAAAACAAACATAAAATCGCAATCAGTTAGGAGGAAAACCTTATTAAATTATTATTTTGCCATGAACACTGGCTATGGACATTTACATGTACTCAATTAGTGCCATTATTCATACATCACAAATCTCCAAAAGTATTGATTTCGTGGATTTAAAGGAATCTAAGCGGAGTGTATGTCTTATTTTGTAACGAAACGGCTTACAGGAATAACGGCGCTTTAAAAAGTCAATGCCCACGTTAAATTAGTTTCAAATCTTCCTAATTAAAAAGGCAGATATAAATGTGTCATCTGTTTGTTAGGTTCATATTGAAAGTAACACTACCGGCCGACTGTATGAACGCATTAGCATTGATACCAGTCCAGTTCTGCAAGATATCAAGGTGAATGACACGACTCGCGTGCTATTTCTGTTGACAGCACAAAAGGTAACATTTCTATTTAGTCGCATTTTCTAATCTGCCTTACACAGGGATCCTCTATTAACTAGAAAGGAATATAATAAACAAGGGAGTGTTTTTGGCGACTTCCTTGATCTCTCTAAGAAACCCCAAGAACTTGGTTTGAGGGCTTTTTCTCAATCGAAGAGATGTGGGAAGTTGACTGGTAAACGTAAAAAGATGTATCCTAGCAGTAACAACATTTCTAGACATTATTTTATGTAATCAGCCAAAAGCTAATTTGACTGGCATGTGTGTTGTTCATTGCAACTATTGATTTCAAGTCAATCCATTTTCATAAGGTTTGAAAGAAAAAGACAACACCGTTTCCGTTGAAATTTCGGTCAAGATTAAGATTACCTTTTTACTGAAAAAGTACAATATGTTTTACACTATATATAGTTGGTGAAGCTTCGTGTGGAGAATTGTGGCCAATACACTACATGCGAAACGTGTATTGGGACTGATGCAGGGAATGATGGAGACCCAAATTGTGGATGGTGCACACTGGAACGAAGGTAAGTCACACGGGATGTCTCCAAAGTGTTTAAGTGAGTTGAGGGGTGTAAGACCGGTAGTCTATCACCACTCAGACGGGGTGCAACAATTAGTTCCGATGCATTAATGATGTAGGTAAATCTATAGCTTGTGCACTCTGAGATAAAAGTAATTTGTCTGAAAAGTTCCAACAGCTGGTCAGTTTAGTTGTTGATGGTGTCAGTGAAAGAAGTTCCTTTATATTTATATGATTAGTACATAGTTCACCAGCTCATATGGTTTTCCGATGTTATTTGTACGTAAAAGAACATTAGTACGATTCATCAAATTCAACGGTGACTTTGATAACGGTGTTTCTAAATTCTCAATGAAATCTAGAAAGTAAAGCATTTCATGTTTTTCCGTTTTGGTTTTTGCTTTTGATGACTGTCGACTACCAAGCTATTCTGGTCATGTGATAACATTGCATTCCTCCTTAGATGTACGAGATATTCCGACTGTCCATCATCTGATGTATCTACTCGATGGTTGGCCTACAATGCTGCTCAGTGCATTATTATTACTGATGTAGCACCCTATGATAACCTACCAATTACAGTCACTGAGCAACAGGTGAGAGAAAGATGTATTGAAATTACATTTTACTTGCATCCTTAGATTACATAATTGAAACCTGCTTTAAAATAATGTAACATTTTTTATTTATTTATCACATGAGGGCGCCATTTAAATTGAAGCAATGTGGTGCTGCCCTCGCTTGGCTAGGTATTTTGTACATGTAGCTATTGTTGTGTGGAATTCAGCAGTTGCTGCCCCGCCTCGAGTCAAGCATGTTGTACTTTTTTGGGTTAAAATTTCGCTTTTGTTTATGGTGAGTTTCCTCGTCTTTAAATTTTCCTCTTTATTTCCATGTACTAAGGAGTTACAATAGTGTATTATGTAGACAGTTTTGAGGTATATTTTTGAAGATTTTGTTGTATTTTGGACGGATATTTTTTAGGGCTGTGTGGTAGGGCCTGGGTGTGTCGGCGTGACATGGTGCCTTTGTTAGCCCAGTCTTAATTATTTTTGAATCTTGACTAAGTTTGAATTAAAAGGCAGTTCTGAAGTCACTTAAGGGTGTTTTGCAACTCCTTGACATGGGATTTAAGGGGATTGAAAATGGA